ATGGATGGAATCAGCGGCTCAACTGAGACAGCAGGCTAAACCATGGATTGCCCCAAACACAAGTTTGAGCCAAACCATGGCTTGGTTCAGTCATAAGGTAAGGAAAAGAAGGGCTGCACCACCAATCCGGGGGGGGAACCACACATGTGCAGAAATTATATTTTAATGATCTCTGGCATAGAAGGTGCAAGAAAATACAGAATGAGGTGTAGTCTAAATTGCCGAACAATATGTAATCATCCAATGTCAAGCGTTAGGCCAGGCTTCCTCAACCTTGGCCCTCCAGATGTTTTTGGCCTACAACTCCCATGATCCCTAGCTAGCAGGGCCAGTGGTCAGGGATGATGGGAACTGCAGTCTCAAAACATCTGGAGGGCCGAGGTTGAGGAAGCCTGCGTTAGGCACTTAAACAACCAACCAGACAAACAGCTAGCCTTGAACCACCTTGCTGAAAAATAAGTAAGTCTCCCACAATAGTATATTTTGCTCCCTCCTCCTCAGCGCCCCCCAATATTCTCCTCCTCCACTCACACACTGTTCACGGGACACTGATGGTCCTGCAAATGGGAGCGTGGCGGGGTAGAATTATGCTCAGTACAGTGTTACCTCAGGTTACCTACGCTTCAGGTTTGAGACGCTTCAGGTTACAGACTCCGATAACCCAGAAATAGTACCTCGGGTTAAGAACTTTGCTTCAGGATGAGAACAGAAATCGTGCTACGGCGGCCCGGCAGCAGCAGGAGGCCCCATTAGCTAAAGTGGTACTTCAGGTTAAGAACAGTTTCAGGTTAAGAACAGACCTCCGGAACGAATTAAGTACTTAACCTGAGGTACCACTGTACTACAAAAAACAAACAAACCAACACAGTCCAGTAAGTACGTTCACTGGTCACAGGGTGCAGGATGTAGGGGAATGGGGAACTGGTGAGGGAGAAGTGAAGGAATGGAGTGAAGGGGGTGTGGCTGGCTGGCTGGCAGCCTGGATCACTGAACTGAAGTTCTCCTCCTTACTGCAATATTAATAATACTGACCTATCTAAAGTGAATTGGGATGCGGGTGGCACTGTGGGTTAAACCACAGAGCCTAGGACTGGCCGATCAGAAGGTTGGAGGTTCGAATCCTCGTGACGGGGTGAGCTCCCGTTGCTCAGTCCCTGCTCCTGCCAACCTAGCTGTTCGAAAGCTCATCAAAGTGCAAGTAGATAAATAGGTACCGCTCCGGCGGGAAGGTAAACGGCGTTTCCGTGTGCTGCTCTGGTTTGCCAGAAGTGGCTTAGTCATGCTGGCCACATGACCCGGAAGCTGTACACCGGCTCCCTCGGCCAGTAAAGCGAGATGAGCGCCGCAACCCCAGAGTTGGCCACGACTGGACCTAATGGTCACGGGTCCCTTGACCTTATCTAAAGTGAATACTGGAAGGCACGGCTAGGGAACCTTTTCAGCCCAGTGGACCAGATCTTTGACCTCCAAGACCCCAGCAGGTGAACTTAGACAGGTGGGCAGCCCAATAACCAGCTGGTCGTCAATGATTTGGAAAGTGCCGCAGAAGGTGCTTTGAAGGCACTGGTGATTGGCAGTGATTGGCGGTGCCTTCAAAGCCCCTTTTAGCCAAGCCTCACCTTTCCCCGGTCTGTGCTGGATGTTAGGAACATAACAAGACAAAGCATGCAAAGCACTTGAACGCTTAAAAGCACCATCCAAATCCGAAGGAATAACAACACATTGGGAATAAAGGAGAATTTGCACAGCCCAGTTTACAGAGCCTCTGGTTTTCCTTTTCGACCTCTTTCCTTTTTCCTTCCCCACCCACACCAGATAAGAGACTGGACATTGCCAAAAGGAAACATACCACTGCAAGTATGAGTCAATGGCAGAGGACTGGTGGCATGACTAAAGCCTTGCCAACTCGACACACGGCAAGTGGGTGGGAAGTTGTCCCACCAGCCTCTCTGCCTTGTGGGTGGCAAAGTGGCCGTCGTATGATGAGTTCAACCTTTTGGTTCAGCATCATGGGAAGTAATTCTGTGAAGTACTTCATGATCCCCTTTAGGTAACGACTGTGTCTGAGGATCTACTTAGTGTGCAGAAGGTCTGAGGCTGAATTGCTGGCATCTCCCGCTAAAAAGGCTCAGGTGGCAGGTGATGATATAGGTCTCTGTCTGAGAGCCACTGCTTGAGTAAGGTTTAAAAAAAAAGGAGAAAGGACCCCTGGACGGTTAAGTCCAGTCAAAGGTGACTATAGGGTTGAGGTGCTCATCTCGCTTTCAGGCCGAGGGAGCTGGCATTTGTCCACAAACAGTCCATAAATAGCAACACCCTAGTGGTCCCTGGCCCTAAGGAAGTTAGCCTCAACCAGAGCCAGGGCCTTTTCAACTCTGGCTCTGGCCTGGTGGAACGTTCTGTCTCATGAGATCAGGGCCCTGCAGGATCTGATTTCCTTCCGCAGGGCCTGTAAGACAGAGTTGTTCCACCTGGCCTTTGGCTTGGAGTCAATTTGATTCCCTCCCCATCTTTCTTTTTTCCTTTCTCCTCCTGTGATGAGGCTGCATTTTAATGTTTTAATGTTTTAATCTAATCTTGTTTTTTAAGTTGTATTTCAATCGTTTTTATAATTGGTTGTTAGCTGCCCTAAGCCCAGTCTTGGCTGGGGAGGGCGGGGTATAAATAAAATATTATTATTATTGTTATTATTGTTGTTATTATTCCAGGTCATGTGGCCAGCATGACTAAACCGCTACTGGTGCAGGGAGGACCATGACAAGTGCCAAAGCACATGGAAAAGCCGTTTACCTTCCCGCCACAGTGGTAGCTAGTTATCTACTTGCACTGGCATGCTTTCAAACTGCTAGGTTGGCAGGAGCTGGGACCGAGCAACAGGTGCTCACCCTGTCGCGGGGATTCGAACTGCCGACCTTCTGATTGGCAATCCCCAGAGGCTCAGGTTTAGACCACAGTGCCACCCGCATCCCTTCAGAGTAAGAAAATACTGAATTAGATGGACAAATAGTATGACCTGGTACAAGGCAACTTCCTATGCTCCACTGTGACTCGCTGCAACCATCCATTTTCCTCAATGGCATGTTGCACAATTCACAATTAGGCAATAGTGTGTCACATAAGCGAGACAGAACCATGTCACTCCAAGGTCTTTGACTTCAATTTGCCTGTTCAGAGCTCCCTCTTTCTGATTGTGCTTATGTAACCCAGGGGTCCCCAATCTTTCTCAGCCCATTTTAGAAAATGGAGAGTGTTGCGGGAAGCACAAAATACCCATTTCACAGCAATGAAAAGAACTCCCTAAACAAAAGGGGGGGATCCCAGGTATACAGTAAAGTTTACATTTTTAGATGTTCCCTTAAAATAACTTCAGAGAATGCCTATACTATGAAGTGTTGGAGTAACCCTGGCTCTGACCTCCAATGTTAGGTTGTCCTCCCTAATACTTCAATCCCATGAGACCAGGGGAAGGGAGTGTTTTTCAGCATGAGGACCTGGTTTCCTTCTGGGCAACTTTCTGAGGTTCGCACGCCCATGGTGGGTGGGGCCAGAGGCAAAGGTGGGTGGAGCAATTAATGCAAACGTTACCTTTGTAAAGCAGGTTAGTTTTGACACACTCAAACACCCTTCCCTATCCTTCATCAAGCTACTGGTCAAAGCTTATTCAGATGACAGGGGTGGCTGGTGCCTATTGGGTCTGGGAAGGGCTGGGAGGGCCACAGAAGGTGGAGCCAGAGCAAATTACAGGTGGAGTCCATTATCTATAGTTTTGTCCCCCTACCTCCTCCCTACACAACCTTGATGGCAGAAAGTGAGGAGGAATTAAAGAACCTTTTAATGAGGGTGAAAGAGGAGAGTGCAAAATATGGTCTGAAGCTCAACATCAAAAAAACCAAGATCATGGCCACTGGGCCCATCACCTCCTGGCAAATAGAAGGGGAAGAAATGGAGGCAGTGAGAGATTTTACTTTCTTGGGCTCCATGATCACTGCAGATGGTGACAGCAGCCACAAAATTAAAAGATGCCTGCTTCTTGGGAGGAAAGCAATGACAAACCTAGACAGCATCTTAAAAAGCAGAGACGTCACCTTGCCGACAAAGGTCTGTATAGTTAAAGCTATGGTTTTCCCAGTAGCGATGTATGGAAGTGAGAGCTGGACCATAAAGAAGGCTATTAGCCGAAGAATTGATGCTTTTGAATTATGGTGCTGGAGGAGACTCTTGAGAGTCCCATGGACTGCAAGAAGATCAACCCTCTCCATTCTGAAGGAAATCAGCCCTGAGTGCTCCCTGGAAGGACAGATCCTGAAGCTGAGGCTCCAATTCTTTGGCCACCTCATGAGAAGAGAAGGCTCCCTGGAAAAGACCCTGATGTTGGGAAAGATGGAGGGCACAAGGAGAAGGGGACGACAGAGGACGAGATGGTTGGACAGTGTTCTCAAAGATACCAACATGAGTTTGACCAAACTGCGGGAGGCAGTGGAAGACAGGAGTGCCTGGCGTGCTCTGGTCCATGGGGTCACGAAGAGTCGGACATGACTAAACGACTCAACAACAACTCCTCCCTACCAAGCTCTGTGAAGGCGAAACTGTGCCCCTTTCACCCTAATGGGAGTAACCTCTGCTGGCAAACAAGATGCATTCTATCAGAGCCAAGGGCAAATTCCAGCTTGGCAAAAACCACTAAACAAGGGTTTGAAGCAAGGCCAGTGGGCGATATGGACTCAGGAAAGAGGGTGTGGTTGCGGGTGTGTGTGTGTGTCAAACAGGCCTGATATTCCCTAGCCCTGCCATACTATTTGTTGTATTATTTGAAGCAACATCTTCAGCAGCAAATGCATGAATTACTTGAGCTAAGCATCTAATGGGATGGGAGTTCCAGAGACCCATAGCTGCTCCAGCCTGCCCCTTGACATGGCTTGGCACATTCCGAGAAAACGAGCATCCCATAAATGAATCCATTGAATAAAATGTTGGCAAAGTAAATTGCCACGGTTACTTACCACTGAAGGGGTTGATTTGCTTTGTGATCCGGGAGACGATCGATTCCTTGAGCTCTCTCTTCTTCACGCACTGTATGCCCAAATTCTGAAAACTGGAACACGCACAGTCAACCATTAGCAGATTAAAAAGAAAACGAAGAAGAAACAACAGCAACACAATATTGGCATGAAATGACTTGTCGTGGAAATTTCGATTCTGACAAATTCCGCTGCAACTCCATGAAGAGAACAAAAAGGAACATAAACATGGGCAAAAAACAAAAAAGGGGGGCAAGCAAACTGTAAGGTATGCTAAAAGTGAATCTGAGGAGTGCGTTGCTAAAAACAAGAAGTTCCTTAAGGGCATTTGTAGCAGGAGACCTTCTAAGACAGGGGTTGGCAACCTAAAGCCCATGGGCCACAAGCAGCCCATGGGGGTCATTTAACTGGCCCATGGACCCCCACTGCCCAGTCGGGGACCCCTGCTGCCTGCTCAGTCGGTTCCTGAGCGCCGCACTAAACTGGTGAGGAGCAGAGTGGGGACCGCCTTCTGTGATGCTGGCCAGATTCCCATTGGCTGCAGGAAGCTCCTGCAGCCAATGGGAAGCTGCGCATGCCTCCTCCGCATTGGAAGGAGCACCAGAAATAGTGTTTGTGCATGCTGTCAGGATCTCCGCTTGGCCAAGCTGATAAAACTCATTTTCCTCCGGCCGAGCCTTCAGAATCGCCTCCGACGATAATTAACGACGATAATTAACGATAATTAAAGACCAGAACGGCCTCTGATAAGGCCTCAGGCACATTCCCATCCAGCAGAGTTTCCAGCACAGGGAAGTGATGAGATTTATGGCTACATGGCTAAAGAGTTTTATTTCTCGCTACGCAGACAGCAAAGAAAAATACATCCTCTCTCTGTGAAAGCAGAGAGCAACTGAAACAAAGGAACAGGAAACCAGTAACGTCACATCCGACTCTCGTCTCCCGTGAGACTTCCAACAGTATGGAATGTGTCTGGAATGTAAACAGAGTCCTGTGACCCTAAGGAGCTGCTCAGTGGCAAACAGAAACTAACACATGCATGTATGCATGCACACATACTCCAGCTCACTGCGGCGTCTGCAGGACTGGGAACCGGCCCAAGCCACAAAAACTTTGCCAACCCCTATTCTAAGGAAGTAATTGGGCCCTTAGATGGTAAGGGAATCAAAATTTTTCCATCTGTGTTCACAACAGAAGACAAATCCCAGTGAATGAACTAAGTTTTGCAGGAAGGGAGTCTGAGAAATAATAATCATAATAAATTTTATTTATACCCCGCCCTCCCCAGCCAAGACCGGCTAACACCAGATATAAAACAATTGATTAAAATACAACTTAAAAAACAAGATTAAAATACAAAATTAAAATGCAGCCTTATTTCAGCAGAAACTCAAAAACTTTTTTGGGGATGAAAACGTCAAGTCTTCACCAAGGCTAACTATCCAGACTGGTCCTACGTGGGCCAGAAAAAAGCCAGGGAAGTCCCCAAAAAGGAGTTCCATCACAGAAGGAAAAAGGAAAAAAGCAAGAAGGGGAGGGAATCAAGAAACTGAGACAGATAGTCTCAGGGATGAAGTTCTAGGCCTAACAGACAAAATTAAAACTGACAAATTGGTGAGCTCAAATTACACCCACCTGAGAGTTCTTAAAGAACTCAAATGTGAAATTACCAAACTGGCAACAAAAATGTGTAGCTTGTCCCTCATTTCAGCCACCATACTTGAGGACTGGAAAACAGCCAAGGCAATGCCAATTTTTTATTTATTTTTTAAAAAAGGATTCAGGGATATCCTGGAAATTACAGGCTGGTTAGTTTAACTTCTGTCCCAGGAAAATTGGTGGAAAGTATTGTTAAAGATAAAACAGCCAAGCACCTAGAAGAACAAGCCCTACTGAAGCATGGCTTCTGCAAGGATAAGTCCTGCCTTTCAAAGAGTTCTTTGAGAGTGTCAACAAGCACATAGCTAGAGATGATGCGGTTGACAAAGTGTACTTGGACTTCCCAAACACTTTCCACAAGGCACTTCACCAAAAGCTCCTGAATGAGCTTAGCAATCATGGAACAAGAGGAGACATCCTCTTGCGGATCTGAAATTGGTTAAGTATCAGGAAGCAGAGAGTGGGAATAAATGGACTGCTCTTTGAATGGAAATGGTGAAAGTCCCCCAAAGATTGGCACTGAAACCTATGCCTTTTAATTTGTTCATTAACAAACTAGAGCTAGGTGTGAGCAGCGAGGTGGCCAGGTTTGCTGAGGACATTGAATAGTTCAAGGTTGTTAAAACACAAAAGGATTGCGAAGAGCTCCAAAAGGACCTCTCCAAACAGAGTGAATGGGCAGTAAAATGGCAAATGTGACCCAATGATTTTATGCTGGGGCAAAAAAATTTTAATTTCACATATATTCCCATGGGGTCTGAGCTTGATCAGGAACAAGACATTGGGCTCATTGAGCTGTCGCTTGTCTCTTGCCCAGAAAGCATGGGTCTGGTTAGGCTTTCTGCTCATCTTGTGCTTTCTAGGCACAATCCCTAGTGGTTTCTGTGTGCGCCACTCCTTTCCCCAGGAAAACCTGCTCTTTACTGCTGAATTGGAGCAAACGTCAAGCCACGGAAAACCCGATCAGCATTTGCTCTGATTCAGGGGTAAATAGCGGGTTTCCCCAGGGAGAAGTGGTGAGACAAGAAGAACTGTGGACGAGCCCTGAGTGTTCAGCAGCTGTGAGAAAGACAAATTCCATGCTGCGGATCATTAGGAAAGGAATTGAAATTGAAACTGTTGATATCGTAAGGTCGCTATGCAAATCGACGGTGGAATACTGTGTCACCTCCAAAGGAAACTAGAGTTAGAAAAGGGAAACCAGCACGATGAAGGGGATGGAGCAACACTTGGGACTTTTCAGTTTTGAAGGAAAGGTGAATAAGAGATGTCACAACAGAAGTTTATAGAATCGTGCGAGGCATAGAGAAAGTGGGGAGAGATAAGATGTTTCTCTTTCTCTCATAACACTAATGATGATGATGATAATTTTATTATTTATACCCTGCCCATCTGGCTGGGTTTCCCCAGTCACTCTGGGCGGCTTCCAACAGAATATTAAAATACAATAGTTTGTTAAACATTAAAAGCTTCCCTAAACAGGGCTGCCTTCAGATGTTGTCTAAAGGTCTGGTAGTTGGTTTTCTCTTTGACATTTGATGGGAGGGCGTTCCACAGGTCGGGTGCCACTACTGAGAAGGCCCTCTGCCTGCTTCCCTGTAACTTGGCTTCTCACAGCAGGGGAACCGCCAGAAATTATTAGAGCTTCAGTTGGATTAGAGGGCAGAACCAAGGTGGCGAGAGAGTTTACAGCCTATTATTTCTTGGGCTTTTTTTTGCATTAGTGTGTTATCATAGCAAATGATGAAATACTGAAGAATGACCTTTCCTTTTAAGAATGACTGCTTTACTTTGTTGACTAAACTCTAAGATTCCTTTGATTTGTCAAACAGGCACTGAGCTTTGTGTGAACTAGGCTTTGTTTATCTTGCTTTCAGTTCTGTATTTTGTTACACACACATACACACACACACTGTGATTTTATGGTGTGAACCACCCTGAGATTTACAGATGTAGGGCGGTACAAAAATTATTAATAATAATAATCAGTGTTACTCCAAATTAACTGATAAGCCACTTGGAAAATTTTGAGAAGTGCAAATTTCAAAGGATAGCTGTGCTTTGGTTAGTGTGTTGCCTCGGAAAGCCTTTAAATGCAAACTGAAACCAGTTCCTCCCACCATCCCTACAATGAGGTTTGACCTGATACCTAAGAGTTAGGCACAGCCCCCAGCCATTCAGACAACCCTGCGGTGACTGTGCCTCAATCGGCATTGGGATTTCTTACAAAATGGCAGGCCTAAGTGGACTGGGTTCAGCATCTGATCAGCCTTTTTTCTTTTTATGGCAAACATCAGTGAGTCCATACCAGTATTTACCAAACCAGCTGTTTTTGGACGACAGTTCCCATAATCCCTGACACTGGGCCTGCTAGCTAGGGATGATGGGAGTTGTAGTCCAAAAACAGATGGAGACCCAAGTTTGGGAAACACTGGTATAGACCATGGGTAGGCAAACTAAGGCCCAGGGGCCGGATCTGGCCCAATCGCCTTCTAAATCCGGCCCGCGGACTGGCTGGGAATCAGATGGTGGCACACAGGAATTTGGAGCAAGGAATAGGCAGTGTTAAACACTTCCCACAGACTTTTAAAAGACATTCTGTTTAGGGAAGCTTTTAATGTTTAATAGACTATTGTATTTTAATATTCTGTTGAAAGCCGCCGAGAGTGGCTGGGGAAACCCAGCCAGAGAGGCGGGGTATAAATTTATTATTATTATTATTATTATTATTATTATTATTATTATTATTATTATTAAAAAGGTAAAGGTACCCCTGCCCGTACGGGCCAGTCCCTTTTTTTTTTTTTTGGCCCTCCATAGATATTTATTGAGATTTTCAAAATGTTACAAAATATAAAAAGAATTCAATACGTACGGGCCAGTCTTGAATTCAAGAATTCAATACGTACGGGCCAGTCTTGACAGACTCTGGGGTTGTGCGCCCATCTCACTCAAGAGGCCGGGGCCCAGCGCTGTCCGGAGACACTTCCGGGTCACGTGGCCAGCGTGACAAAGCTGCATCTGGCGAGCCAGCACAGCACACGGAAACGCCGTTTACCTTCCCGCTGGTAAGCGGTCCCTATTTATCTACTTGCACCCGGGGGTGCTTTCGAACTGCTAGGTTGGTAGGCGCTGGGACCGAGCAGCGGGAGCGCACCCCGACGCGGGGATTCGAACCGCCGACCTTTCGATCGGCAAGCCCTAGGCGCTGAGGCTTTTACCCACAGCGCCACCTGCGTCCCATTATTATTATTACCCAGCCCCAAAAAATCCTGCTGCCACTGGCAAATCCAGGTGTGATCTAAGACAATGGGAGTCCCTGCACCTACCAGATATCAACACTTGGAGGCAAGGGAAGAGTGTAGAATTGGGGTAGGTGTCCTTTCTTGGGACAAGGGTAACCGCACTCCACCTC